AAAGTAGTTTCTAGAGGAAAAACTGCTTTAAAGAATATAATTTAAAGATGCATAAATATGAAAAGTTAGTGAATGAGTCAACAGAGCTTGAATTACTGAACTACAATCAATAGGTCCGATTTTAAAAAGTATTGAAGGAGAAAAGTATTCATAAGATAAAGGAAAAAGTCCCTCATGCATAAATAATTGGTTAGAAGATAAGTACATAAGAAGGGAGGAAACGGTCAACAGCTTGACAGGAATCTGGGTTAAAACTCATGCAGTTTAATTATGCATGAATTCTCTGTACAGAATAATGAATAGTGAGGTGACAAAATCATTCTGAGAAATAAAGCCAACTGAAGAATTAGAGAAGGCCCTTAAGAGTCTACGTGACTGGATGTTAAAGCAGCAGATGAAATTAAATGTAGGTTTATACAGACGAAATTAAATGTAGGTTTATATAAAGGTTCGTGATAGAGACTTCCAGTAAGGAGCAGCTGAACTCTGTATTGGCTAGGAAGGAAATTAAAAGCTGTAAATCATTAAGATACACTGAACAAAGTTTTGGTCTACTCCTCCATAAGGAATGTAGGCCTCCATATACTAGAAAAGCAACAGTTCAAAGGGAGACAGAGGTCCATAAAAAACCCAAAACAAAACAACCCCCCCCCAAAAAAAAAATCTAACAAAAGAAAACCCTCCAAAAATCCAGAATCATGAAGTGCATACTTCTTCCTAAAATACAATAAATTGCACAACTTCTTGTTGCAACAGACTGTTGATGCTGAAAAAGTTTATACAAGTTGAAATAGAGACAGGAAAAATTTGTGAAAGGAAAAAGATCCAGCAAATCACAGAAGAACATCTTGCATCTGCAGAACCCTGGAGCTATACATGACTAGGAATATATTCTGAGGGAGGAATACTACATGCTCCTCTGCAGAAGCCTGGTACTGGTTGTGGCAGGAGGAAAAACTAGGCCAGATGGATATTTTTTTCTGCTTTTGTTACACATCAAATCATGGGAATAAATACTGAATATGGAATTAATGATTGCTGTCTATCCCACTGTTAACATACCAGAGCATCCCAAAGGAAAAAAACGACAAACTCACAGAAAAAAAAAATTGCAAGATCATCCTATTAGAAAAATAACCCAAATAAACACAAGCAAACTAGATTAAGATTACATGAAAGGCAAACTAATTTCTGACATTTCCAACTTTTTTGGTATTTATCTCTGCCACCTAAATGTTTCTTATAC